TCATGGAAACCTGACAAGGTTTTCTTTCTTTCAGGGAAATTAATTTCTTCAAACCCAGAAAACAAATCTTAAAAGTTGGCACCCTCCATTGTCACTGACAATGTCAGCTAGAGAGGTTCGAATGTTTTGTCTTAAAAGGAACAGACCCTTGACATCTCAAGGTCTAAGTCTTGAGATCTTTGCCCAAATTCAAAACTACTCCTGGATAAGTTGACACAAGTCCCTGGTTTTCTGTAGAATCCCATTTTATCTTGTGTCATAGTTTCTTATACATGTTTTCACACCCAGGTTATTATTCTCTTTAGCTCCTCTCATTTAACATTTAACAGCCATTGTATCAGCCAAAACGAAGTACCACAAACTGGGTGGCTTACACAATGGAAATGTACTGTCTCACCGTTCTGGAGAGCAGAAGTCTAACATCAAAGTGTTGGCAGGGTTGGTTCCTCCTTGAAGGCTGTGAGAGACAGAATCTGTTCCATGCCTTTCCCCCTAGCTTACTTAATCCCTGGCATCCCTTGGCTTGAAGCATCACCAATCTCTGCCTTCACCATCATGTAACGTTCTCCCTCTGTGCTTGTCTATGTTCAGATGCCCTCTTTTTATAAGGGACACCTGTCATATTGGATTAGGGCCCACCCTAATGATCTCACCTTCACTAACTACATCTGCAAAGACACTACTTCTAAATAGGGTTACATTACAAGGTATTGAGTGTTAGGACTTCAACATATGTATTTTTGGAGAGGGGAACACAACTCGACCCATAGCGGCCATTTTTCACATGATAAAGTTTGACATTTTCCAATCACTGCATATTGTTTGAATAACTGCTGGATTTGCCATGTCTGCAACAGAACTTGGAATACAGGAGGAGCTCAATAAACACTTTTTGAATGAATGAGTGAATAAATGAGACTGCAAGTGAGAAAAAAAACAACTGTGGATGCTCAGAGTTGAGCTCAGCTAACTCATTAGCTGAGTAATGCCTTCCAGCATGGAATTTAGCAGGACTTAACATGTGCCACGGCAAAATTGCAAAACACTATATGCCCCATGAATCTCTAAGGTCCATGTGATAACTCACAAATGTCAATTCAAAAACTATTATACAGGCATATTCTTTTAATAATAATTTATTTCTTAAGGGAAAAATAATACAGAATCAGAAAAAGGGTATCAAATGATTTGTTTAAATAAGTCAAGAAATGCATTATTGAGAGAGCAAAGATCACTAAATGAGACAGTCGTAGCCAGATACATTACAACATGGTCTATAGGTAGTCCATGCTATAGCACTACATCAGAGATGATTCCTTGTTATAATTCTCTCATTTTAATAACTAAATCTTAGGACAAAGTCCAAGATGAATTGTATACTATAGCAAATTGTGTACTATAACAAGCCTCTATTCTTTTAACCCATGACATTTTTCAACATAGCCTCAATAGATACCTATGTAACAAGGAACTGAAGGTATTCTTCTCTATTTCTCCCAAATTGTGTACTATAACAAGCCTCTATTCTTTTAACCATGACATTTTTCAACATAGCCTCAATAGATGATACCTACGTAACAAGGAACTGAAGGTATTCTTCTCTATTTCTCTTAATCATCTCATTCAGATCTTATCACCATGAATTTCCTGGGTGCTTGGCTTTAAAATACTGTATTACTATCAACTTTAAATTCAAGCCCTGGGTAGGTCTACATTCATTTCAGCAGAAGCATCTTGAAATGTTGAATTATCATCTTCAATTTCCCTCAGTCATTTATTGTAGCTGCCAAACTGAAATGGTATGCCTTAAAGGCAACACTAAACTGAAAGCAAGTAATAAAAAGAGTCTCTTAAATGTTTCATTTATAAAAGCTTATTTTTCCCACCATCAAATTTTGTATACTGTCTGAAATATATCACTTTGCAAAATAGACAACTTGCATGCAGTTATTCTGCCCTGGTACATTTGCTCAGCTTCAAGGATGGGGGAGGCGGGTGGCGGGAACTAGCATTTTTTCAACCCTTTGTGAACAGAGGAGTGACACAGTCAGGATAGTCTGGGTTTGGGCCTTTGTGGGGAGGAATTAAAAGCAAGCCTCCATTGGTAATAGATATCACTATAACTGTCTCCTTTTCTGGATAGCTGCACTATCTTCCAGGTTATATTACAAATTATGCAATAAAATAAACACTTTAAAAAGGCACATAGAGTGGCGGGTCTATGACAGCTCACTCTGATAAGAGAACAAATCTGCAAACTGAACACATTCTAAGCATTTCCTTAAACTACTGCTCACAAGCAATATATAGCAAATTAATGAAGAGCAAGTCTGCAGAATTCTGTAGTAAAACCTGTACACCTTTCCCCATAATTGTGAAGGACAACTATGGAATATTAATATATAAAATGAACAAAATATGGTTTGTATTTCTAAAACAAAAGACTTTCAGATGAGGATATAGGGGAAAGGAAATGTTTTATTAGGAAAGTACACCACATTTATATAAAATAGGTTGCTACCAAGCTCATTTGGCCCAAGAGCCACTGAATTTATCTGAGCAAGTTTAGTAAGTATGCTAAGGAGGGAGAAAATGAGATGACGGTGCTTTTTTTCTTCCCTTTACACATCAAACTTAGCTATTACATAAGGATCAGAATCACTGTTCAAATCTTTCTCAGTTAATATCACTTTGTCAAGTCAAAATTTGATCATTTTTTGCATAAAATTATAGTTTAACTGTATCATAACTGAGTGATTCCTAAAACATCTTTTACTCCAATGACCTACTTAAGAAAACAGTATCTGGCCTGGCTAGCAAGGCTCAGTGGTTGAGCGTCGACCCACGAACTAGGTCACAGTTCGATTCCCGGTCAGGATACATGTCCGAGTTGTGGGCTCAGTCCCGTGGGGGGCGTGCAGGAGGCAACCAATCAATGATTCTCTCTCATCATTGATGTTTCTATATCTCTCCCCCTCTCCCTTCCTCTCTGAAATCAATAAAAAAATATATTTTTTAAAAAGAAAACAGTATCTGTATTCAATGCATGGTTCAGTTTTGAAGCATTTCCTGGCTACATTTGTAGCTAATTTTCAAAGCTTTATTTAGAAATAACGCCAACCCCCTCCTAACAGCTAAGAAGAACAATTTTTTAATCTATAGGGTATTTTAAAAACCAATCAATTTGCCATAACCTCCTAATTCCAGGAATGTAAACCATAATTCAAGCTTCGATTTTCCTCTTAACATATTCTACTTTACTAAAATGAATTCTCATCCTGCAACTATGAACAAGAAAATTGTACTTAAAATAATATTAAAAGACAAAATCTCATTATTTAGTATTAAATTAATGGTCTATAATTCTAGCCTTAAAAATATCTATAGCTATAACCTCCCCAAATTATTAATTCCCAGAGATTAATAAAAGGTGTAATTAACATCTAAACTTAGAGCAGACTGCCATTTGGAACAAACTGTGTTAACAATAACGGTACCGGAGTCAAAGAGATCAACCCCTCACCCTTTATGGTTCTGACTAAGGTTAATGAGCACAATTTGTCATTATTTTCCAGTAACTGAAAATCTGAATTGAACAAAAAGACTATTTTTTTCAAACACTCTATAAAAATAGAATAAAGGCTGAAATCGCCTTATTTAGAACCCAGCAGTGTTTGGCAATGGAAATATCATTAAGTATATGAGAAATGAATAAACAAATAAGCAACCCAGTGCACTACCACCATTCAGCTCCTTTTTATGTGCTAAGTATTTAAAATTATATATAATAAAGTGAGATACACTCAAACTGGTTTCTTTAATCTTCACCTGAGGATGTTTTTATTGATTTTAGAGAGAGAAGAAAGGAGATAGAGAGAAACACTGATGTAAAAGAAAAAGCCATGGATCAGTTACCTCCCATACACACTCTCGTAAGCACCCTGACCAAGGATCAAACCTGATACCTAGGTATGCGCCCTGACCTGAAATTAAACCCATGACCTTTTGTGTATGGAACAATGCTCCAACCAACTGAGCCACACTGGGCAAAGCTCAAACTGTTTTTTATTTCTACTAGTAAACACTGAAAAAATTATTCACCTAAGAATCTCCAATTTGACAGAATATAAAGTTGGACATTTACAAACCTATAATTTGGCTAATGATTTTCTACAATTGTGTATTTTTTTCTTTATGAAATTAGAAACATACAGAAATGCAATTTATAAGTTTCTTTGCAATAAATAAGGCCACACATGTACACTGCACTTAATTTTAATAACATATCTTTCATAAAGAAGTTGTTTAAAAATAAACAACTAAAATTTGAATGAAGGAGAAAAAAATAATGAAATTACTATAAATGTTCTTCCACTTCAAAAATTGTCTGACATCTGAGCCAGAAGACTCTCAGTATCTATCAGAGACTTCCTCTTCATGTCACAGAAAGAGTTCAACATGCTTTACAAAATCCATTAGTTTTTAAGACCATTTCCAATATCTGCTACCATAAATCAAGAAATCCATTTATTCAAGGTTAGTTATGGAAAATTAATCACACAGAAAATTTTAACTTCTTTTTCAAAAATTAAAGTACTTTATTGTACTTGGCATTCCTACACATGATGTGAATTCAAAGACTGAAAACATTAAGGGAATATAATTAAAATTCATAAGGCTTAGCCATAAAAATAATTTTAATATTAGAATTATCTGTAACAAATATTTCAAGAAAATAAATCAGAATATAAGCACAATAAAATATCATTTTAGCTTTCTCCTCTGCTTAAGTGGAAGTTAACATAGAAAGTTGTTCCAAAATGCTTGCATGTATTTGACATGACCTCAAAAACATGTAATCAAACATGAAAAGTGAGACTGATAAAACTGTGGGCACTATACATCAGGAACAAAACTCATGAATCTTTCTATTTCTAATGATTTCTAAAATCTAACTTCCCACTTTCAAGGGCAAGTTTACTCAAAAGAGAATAAATAGGTCAGCTATACAACACTTACAGCCTTTACTGATAGGATGTAGCCATTATGCCCAAATTCAGCCATCAATTACAACTTCATTTCCCATCCACAATTAATGAGAATATATTTTACTTCAAATGGGACATATAGGCAGAGTGCCAAAAGTTAAAGTATAACCTTAAAGTCTTAAATTCACACTTCAAATATCAAAAGAAGCAATTCCCAAAATCATGAAAACATGATGAAGTAACTACACATAAAAAAAACACATTTAAGTCATTTCACTTTTTCTTGTATATAGTGAAAACAGATGTATTTATAACTTCAGACTTCAGAAAGCATACTTCATAAAGTCATTATTCATTTAAAATAGACAAATGTTTACAGAGAACATTTAACTTAAATTTCATAGTTGCTTATAAAATAGTACTTGAAAGGTTGACCTATATAAGGAAACAAGAGTCCTGTCAAGAGAGATGGTAAACTATAAATATAAAATACACCACAATGTTAAAAACCTCACAGTACACTATAGGAAAATCAATAAAGATAACTTCATCTTTCTGGGGGGAAATGTGTTTAGCATTACAAATTCAAATGTAAATTTTATATATGAATTCAATAAGGAATACATTTAAACCGTGCATTGCCACATAATCACCATCTATTTTGTGTTAAACAATAAAAATGATGTACTTTTTGAACATGTGTACATCAAAACCAAAAGGTTATTTTTTACTTTTTCCTTTACTGGCAACTTTGGATTCATTTTTAGGTTTTGGTACCCAGAAGGCATTTTTCACGAATCTTGAAGCTGCACCTTTGTCCAACTTGGCAGCCTTCTTCTTGTCAGTTATTTCCTTGACTCTGTTCATGTACACTCTGATTCTTTCCTTAAAGATAAAAAGAGAGAGAGAAAGGCAAAAGATTCACCACCAGTAAGTTTTTATGCTATACCTCAGTTAAATTCAATAGACATGTATTTATTGCCTATGAGGTGGAGCTAGCAAGTGCGCGTGAACAGGATAAACATACCCGTGCTCTCCTGCAGTTCATAGTCTAGGGGAATATAGGCATCACAAAGTCATTTCCAAAGAGGAGAAACTATACTGACATCACTTCAGAGGTAAACACTGAAGTGTTTATATGTAGTTATACATTCTTAGATAGCATTAACCTAAATCCACATATTAGCTCTTATTTACCTGAAGTCTATAATCTAAAATAGAAACCTCATATACTTCTAACATACAAACTAAACTCTCCTAAAAATTTTCCAAGCAGAAAATGAGTAAGGCAGGATTGTTTTCTTTTTTTAATGTTACCTTGGAGCAGGGGTCCTCAAACTACGGCCCGCGGGCCACATGCAAATACAAATATTGTATTTGTTCCTGTTTTGTTTTTTTACTTCAAAATAAGGTATGTGCAGTGTGCAGAGGAATTTGTTCATAGTTTTTTTTTTAAACTATAATCCAGCCTCCAACAGTCTGAGGGACAGTGAACTGGCCCCCTGTTTAAAAAGTTTGAGGACCCCTGCCTTGGAGTGTCTCAATTAAAATAAGAAGAATGAAAATATACAATCTTTTATTCAATTTCATAGTTTTGATTGATAAGCACATATTTTCTAACGACATATACTAGTATAGTTCTAATCAGACTTAACAAGGTGAGAAACACAATACGTTTCATAGCATTAAAATGTTCTGAGATCATTAATCAGAATGAAGGACTATTCTATAGTTCAAATGGAGAAATGAAGGTACAAGAGTCATAAAATAGAGGTAATGATTAATCACTGCTTAAAAGCAAGTTTCATGAAAATAATCAAAACAGTGACATAAAGGTTGGAGTTTTGTTTTTCTGACAGAGAAAAATGTAGAACCATGGAATTTTTTTATTAAAAAAGACTGACAGCTCTGCTCAAAGCCCTCTCATGGCCCCTATTTCTCAGAATAAAAGCAAAAGTCCAGCCTGGTGCTATTTTTAATTTCTTCCCATAATATATATTATATATCCCCTAACATACCATGTATTAATATATATTTAATATTTGTTTGTTAATTTATTATGTTAACTGTTTGCCTCTTTCCACTCCATAGGCTGACATCTGCCACAGGGTAAGGATATTCATGAGCTTTATTCACTGAGGAATCACCTCACTCGAAAATAATACCTGGCTCCTCCCAGGCACTCAAATATTTGTTGAATGAATAAATTCACCAGTTTTAATGCCTTTCCCATTCATGATATAACTCTTATATACTAACTCTATGATCAATTAGTGATGTCTGACACAAGGCCACAGAAGGAAAAAAGGTTTATATATTTTTTATTTGTCAGCCCTTGTCCAGAATATGAATGTACTCCTCCAAAAAGTGGGTTCTGAGAGAGAAAGAAGACAGATGATTTTATCTTTTTCCAATAACAGAACCAAGTATTAAAATACTTGTGTTAAAAGAAAAAGAGAAATTTTATAAAGGTGCAGTCCATATTAGAGGGTTGAAAACAGATGGTAAAGTGCATACTTCTTAGGATTTAAAGTCAATATCACTGCTCAGATCAAGATCTGTGTATCATATTGCTTTATATTTTGCTTTAAGTATTTTTTTCACAATTTCTGTATTTAAAAATATATTTATTTTCCCTCAAGAACTTTAAAAGAAGAAAATATCTTAGTCCACACATTAACAAAATGAAGACAACAGATCTGGTTTATTCATTTTTTAAAAGTAAATGACCATGTACTTTACTGCTGTCTATGCTTTATTAAGTGGTATGTAACATATATATCAACTACCATAAGACTTTAGGACAATCATATAGTGTCAAGTGTATTCACATTTATATTTACCTTATATTTTATAAACAAAGATTAAATTAATATTCTTATTCATAAAACGAAGTTAAGAAGGTAACCATAAGTTTGATTTCTGATTTTTCTCTTTTAAATTGAATGATTTAATTTTTGAAGTCAGCAAAACCTCTAAGATACCAGACCTTATATACAGTACTTATACATCTAAATGGAATACAAAGACAAACCTAGAAGATTTATTACAGGTTGTAAATATGTCACTAATGCAGAATTACTGGACAGTACACATACAACTGGTGCCAAAAAAGCTTTTAGCTTTGTTGCTGAACTGGATTCTTTACTGCTGAGAAAATGAATTAATGGAAGAATTGAAAAGGTGGGGGAGAAACTTTCCCGTCTTTGCTAGTAAATCAACTAGAATATACTTTTAAGAATTGTGTAAGAGTTTAAAAAAATAAAAGGCAGTTGTAGAGATGAACAAGATTTCAAGAATTTATAGGAAAAATAATATGAAGTTATAAATAATTACTAGAATCATAGCATATTTTTCTCATCCAGAGATTTATATAATATATATGAAGCACCAATTCTCTGACAAAGGTAAGAAAAGGAAAAACTAAAGACATGCTGAAATCTGGACTAACTTTCATAATTTCAACTCTGAATAATTTTACTCTGCAATTAGTGGATAAAGGTACTGTGAGTTTAACTTCAGGAATACTACAACAAACAGCCATGTAAAGTAAAAAGAAATCCACTGCAATCTTACCAATTCCTGCTTTACTGGGTGTTCCTTAGGATTAACTCCCTGAGTTGCCAAATAAACTACAAGAGAAAGATTTCATGAAATAAAATGGTGTATATATTAATGAAGAGCATTAATTAAAGAAACAAAGAAATGTCACACAAATGACTGACTAAATCTTAAATTATTCATCCTCTATGTAATAATAAATATGTGTGTGGCTCACAAGCATATGGCATTTTTATTTAAAAGAAATAAATACTGTATCTGACTATTAAAATTGTCATAAAGTATAACTACATATAAAGTGCTAGCATTTAAAAAATAAATCACCCTTGACTCAATAAATAATTTGTTTTGTAATTAATTCCAAATATACATACCCCAAAACATTGAATTTAATGTGTAAGCAGAAACTAAATCCACTTTTGCTTGTTCAAGTGGGTCCAACTATTAGAAAGAGAGAGAAAATAAATTCAAACTTTGAGAACCATCATATATTTTAAATTTTCACCAAGCACAATGTTTCAAAGAAATGTTTTTTTCACGTTTTATAATCCAATAACCAAATGATCTGGAAATAATTTGCAAAAAGAAAAAGGTTTGTTAACCAGTGATTTTTGCCCCAAAATTTTCAATTCAGAGTATCATCTTTAGTTAGACAAGGAATGTGTATAATCCAAGAAAAATTCTTCTGAATTATTTTAATTTCAGGAGTTACGATCTGGGCTTTGTATGTCAAAAGTAATTTATCAATATAAACATAGTACATGATGCATTTATGTATAAGAAGCAGGCTAAAATGCTTAGGCAATACCAAAGACAGAAGAAACATAATGAGATTTGTTTTAGACTGTCAAAGTCAATTTACTCTTTTTGTCCTATAGGGTTTCCAGAAACCCTGATAACATCATTGTAATACTTAAAAGGTCAAAGATAGAGTCTATAGAAAAGAATGCTGTGAGTGTTCCTTTTTGTTTCCAAAACCAAGTCAAAATAAAAATATAGTTAAGAGGTATTTCCTAAGGTTGGAGTTTTGTTTTTATCCCCTAAAAACATCCAAACACTTATAAAGTTGAAATAAAGGGGGAAAGGAGCATGCATATATCATTAATCTATTTCTTAGCACAACACTGTTTTCTGAATTACATTTTTAAAGTACCTTCTGCAACAACTCATTTCTAGAAACAGACATCATGGTCTTCAGCATGTCATCTACAGCACCAATGGAATTCTCAAATGCTGATAAATACTCATGGATTTCTTCTTGATAGTCTTCATTAATTTCTTCTTCTGCCATTATGACCTACTGAAAAAAAAAAGTAAATTCTTAGAATTCACAATAGAGACAGAGATTGTTCTTTAGGTTAAAAAAAAATCAATAGGTCATACCATGTACTTCAAAAGTGCTAGGAGTTAAAACCTGAAGATAATTAAACAAATCTTAGAATATAATTATAGAGCAACTACGAACTTCCCCTCTTCTTAAGTTGCTTGGGAAGGGGGATGGAGTGGAGAGCAGGGGACAGACCCACCCAAGTTCATCAAACTATGAGTGCTTTTCAAGAACTAAAGTAATGACTACCAAACATAGAATATCAATAATCAAAATCCTACATTTAAAAAACTTTCTGTTGAAGTTAAAGACCAAGCAAAGCAATGAAAGTGTGATAAGTATATCCCCTAATGCTTGCTGAAAAAAAATAATCTTTTTTTTTTCCCAAAAATATATATTTTAGTCCTTCCAAACCTAGGAGTTGATCTAGCAGCATGCTATATTAAACTACAAAATGAGAAATGCTAAATCTGAAATATCTTAAGATTATTTATCACTAAAACCATTTTCAAGCCTATATATATATGTATATATTCCTTAAGCTTCTTTAAAATATTAAGAAGAAAGTCAAAAAGCCCATAAATCACATAAAGCAGAAAAGAGGAAACTTGGGAGAAATAAACTGTATGGTTTTCATTTAGGCTAGAGCATACCCTGACAGCCCATTCTTTTAAAATTCACATTTGTATCATAATATTTAATATCTATGTGAGAAAATGAAAAATACACATCAATGTATTTCACATGGTATCTAAGACCAAATTTCAGAAGCAGTTCTAAGCCATACGTACCTCTTATGTTTTAAAACAAATTTTTATTAGCTGAAAATACCTCATTCATTACATAGCTAAAGAGAACAGCAAGAATGTGGTAAAATGGCACATAGCAGAGCAGAATTGAAGTAAAAAGACTGGGCTTTCCATCTTGCTTGATCACTAACTTTGTCACCTTAGATAAATTACTGAATCTCTCTAGGCCTCAAATACCTCATCCATAAAATGGTCTAATGATCTGTAAAAGACCCTTATAGTTCTAAATGTTATGACTATGTCATTTAACTTTAAAAAGTGCTATTTGAATATTTAGTCATAATATATCAACATTTCTATTCAACAAGTATATATTCTACTGAGATAACTGCATTCATTAAAAAAAAAAAAGTGGAGTCCAACTGACTATCACTTCTTATGCTGTAAAGTTACTAACTACTGTGCAACCAGCAATTCAACAAAGAACTGCCCTAGCCGGTTTGGCTCAGTGGGTAGAGCATTGGCCTATAGACCAAAATGTCCCGGGTAAGGGCAAGTACCTTGGTTGCAGGCTCCTCCCCAGCCTAGGTCCTGGTTTGTGCAGGAGGCAACCAATCGGTGTGTTTCTCTCACATTGCTGTTGCTCTCTGTCTTTCCCTGTCTCTTCCACTCTCCCTAAAAATCAATGGAAAAATATCCTCGGGTGAGGATTAACAAAATAAAATATATAAAATAAAAATAAACAAAGAACTATGGTAAAAGAAAAACACTGGGGAAAAACTTGTGACTTCCTATTTCAAAAGACTAACTAAAAACACATACTTGCCTCTCATCCCTCCAAAAAATCCCTCTAAAATGATAGAAGAAACATAAAAATAAGTCCACAGTAATGCTGGAAACCAAGAGGCACATGCCCATCGGCAAATCCAACAGTATAAATTCCTGAAGCTAAAGAGCAAATGGAATCAGACTGATAGGAAACAGAAAAAAGCCTACAATCCCTTAGAAACCAAATGGGAGAATCTAGGAATAACCCCAAGACAAAGGGCAGTAAGAGCTGGGCCACAAGGGCTGAAAACAGCTACCCCAGTCTCTAGCACTGTCAAAGTATGGCTCCAGCACCTACTGTCCAAATAAAGATATAAGTACAAGGGATACACTGCAAATAGAGAGAAGACTCCGTGTTTCTTCTCTTCATGTAAAATCTTAAACCAATAAATTTGAAAATGTGAATAAAAAGAATGAGATAATAGGGGGAAAAAATCAATTACCAAAACTAACCTAAAAGAAGTATATAAACAAACAGATCATGAGCCTTAAAGGAAAAATTTATAGAAAGTCAAAGATCTGCCCTCCAAAAGGGATACAAGCCTACAAGATATTACAGGTAAGTTCTACCAAACCTTCAAGAAATAGTTAATTCTTCTAGTATTTAACTGGTTAGAATGTAGAAAAAGATGGAAAACTTACACACCTTTTTCATAACATACACAAAAATAAATTCCACATGAATCTAAAAGGTAAATGAATAAACATATTACAAGATTATATAAAATATATATGTAATCCAAATGAAACCCAAATGCTATAAAAGGAAAAGGATGCCCTGGCTGGTTTGGCTCAATGGATAGAGCATCAGCCTATGGACTGAAGGGTCCCGGGTTCGATTCCGGTCAAGGGCACATGCCTGGGTTGCGGGTTCGATCCCCAGTGTGGGGTGTGCAGGAGGCAGCCAATCAATGATTCTCTCTCATTGATGTTTCTCTCTCTCTCCCTCTCCCTTCCTCTCTCAAATCAATAAAAATATATTTTTAAAAAAGGAAAAGGATGATGGGTTTAACTACATAAACACTAAAAAGAAAACAAAATCTTTATGGTAAAAGTACAACATAAGCAATATAAAAGAAACAACCTGGGAGAAAATATCTGTCAAAATATAACAAAGAATTAATTAGATTACATTGAGTTCCTACAAAGCATTAAAACAAATTAAAATAATGAAGATATCTTATCACCTATCAGATTGGTAATAATTTTAAAGATTATCGAAGGTCAATGTTAACAAGGATATATACTGAAAGTAAAATATAAATTGGCACAGATTTTTTAAATGCACATACTCTTTTTAAAAAACACTTTTTTTATTGATTTCAGAGAAAGGAAAAGAGAAAGAAACATGTTGCTGCACCTATCGATGCATTCATTGGTTGACTCCCGTGGGGGGATCCAACCCACAACTTTGGCACACTGAATTTTGATTCAGGAAATCCTCTTAAGAATCTACAGAAATCCTTGTATACATGCATACAAATTTAGCAAAATAGACTCTTCAAACTCTTCTCCGAATTTCCGCACTTTCTCTTGCATCAGTTTTTCCCTCTGCTGGATCAATTAACCATAAATCTTAAAACATTTTATTTCTCCATCTCATACAAGGAACAAAACATCTTGACTTCATATCCTACTCCAGCTAAGGCTCCATTTTCTATCTCCCTTTCAGGGCTCCTCAAAAGAGCTGCTTATATTAACAGTCTAATTCCTCTCCTTCCATTCTTTCTTGAATCTACTACAAACAGGCCCTCTACTTCTCACTCAAAATTGCTCATCAAGATCACCCACACAGCCACACTGTTAAGTTCAATGGTCAAATCTCAGTCATTTGACTTCATTGACTCCCTTCATTTGGTTTCCAAGGGCATCACATTTTCTTGGTTTCCCTCCTACCTCACTGGCTGCTTTTTTGGTGTCCTTTGCAGTATCCTTCTCATATCCTCAGCCTCTTAACCTTGAAGTGTCCCAAGGACTGTCCTTAATTAAATTGCATTAATAAACTGATGACTCCCAGGTTTGTATCTCCAGCCCTGACCTCCCTATTGAATTCTAAATCTACATTTCCAACTGCTTACTCAATATCTCTGTTGGATATTTTAGTAGATCCTTAAGTATTATGTACCCAAAGCCTAATTCCTAATCTTGCCTACTACAGTCTTCCTTGCCTTATTTCATGGTAACTCCACCTTTTCAACTGTTCAGCCCTAAATTTTAGAGAAGTCCTGGACTCTTTCCTCTCTCACCCTACCTTTAAAGCATATTCAGAATCTATCCTTATCCTCCCACCTCTACTGCTACCAACCTGGTCCAAGCCAGTCTAACCCATCATTATGCCTTGTCTAGATTGCTGCAATAACCTCTTAAATGGCTTCCTTATTTACAACCCAGTAGTTTATCATCAAGAAAAAGCAGAGTGGTCATTCTAAATCTATGTCATACCTCTGCTTGGAAACTTCCAAAGGCTTACCACCTCACTCAGAGTAAAAGACAAAGTCCTTACAAGGCCCTAAAAAGCCCAACACAATCTGCCCTCTCTGCAGCCTTCTGTGACCTCAGCTTCTCCCACTCTAGCCCTTGCTCATTCCACTCCAGCCAGGACAGCATCACTGCTCTTCCCCATCACAGCAGGCCTGGCCCTACCTCAGGGCCTTTGTACTTCTTCTCCCCTTCCTAGAATGTCCGGTTCCTCCTCTCCTCCCCTACCAACAGCTTCAGAGCTTATTACTTTACCTGCCAGATCTTTACTCAAATGTCACCTACTGGTAAGCCTTTCTTGAACACCCTCTTTAAAATGCATGCCCCGCCCACTACACCCCACCCCTTGGGCCCTACACTTCCTATCTCCTCAATTACCTTACAGTCCTCAATTAACATCTGACATATTTAATTCATTTATTGTCTGTCCATCTTAAAGAATGGTAATTACATGAGAACAGAATTTTGGGGGTTTTGTTCACTAGCACAGCCTGACAGTCAATAAACATGTGTTCAATAAATAACCTATAACAAAATCCTGGAAATAATCTATTCACCAATACAGAAACAGCTAACTAAATTATAGCACATCCATCCAAGAGAATATTATAATTAAGCAAGTTCATTTGGATAAAGCCCAGCAGAACAACGTGGAGCACAAGGTTGAAACTTTTTCTGATATCTATAAGACTATCGCAGGCAAGGATGTTAATTTTGAATTCCCATTGCTTCAGTTGTAAACAAAAATGACTAAAAAAATTATTGTTCAAGTAAAAAAAAAAGAAAGAAGTAAATCTCTATGTAGTAACACATAATGAGAAATGGTGAAAAAAATGTCATAGAACACTCTATAGTATATAACACATAATGTATGTGCCATTTGTTTTTTAAAACCTGTATCTGTAGTTATTAGTAT